AATGATCGCAACGATGTATTAGATCTTTACTTAATTTCTTATACAATCGATTTAGATAACTCATTCTTTGTTTGAAAGCTAGTGATTATTAATATTTCAATACAAAAGAAAATAAAACATAAAACGGAATTCAAACTAAAGCAATTCATAGAAGTCTTATCTCTACACTCAGAAAATATAATTAACAATAACTATCACAAAAACTTATAAAATTATAAAAATATGAATCTATATTAAATGCGAATAAAATACCAGTTTGTCAACGAACAACAGGGTTTATAAAAAGTGATGTTTTGACCATATGGTGTTGCGACGTATCGTCATTCAAGTGTATCCAACAGGCTGGGACTCAAACCCGCTCCCCTGCGTGGGAGAGACCACTTTTTGTAGAACTTCGTCCTACAGAATCCTTAATCGTGGCTATACGACAACTGGAAGTGTCCAGACATAAAGAAGATTTCATTGTTGCAAAATAAGTAAATGGTTTCATATTTTGTACATACACAATTTAGATTATATTAAAATTTAGTAATAGACATTATTTTGTATATCTAGTTAAATCATATTTTTCAAACAGAACAAACTTTCTATAGACGTACTTTTGGAGTAAATAAAAGTTTTTTTTTGTTTAACTAAAAAATCGGTTAAAAAGTCCTTTATGTCAAATGAACATCAAAAAAACATTTATCTCAAAATTGAAATTTATATTATGACTCTTCCATTGAATCAATATCAACAATTTGTCGAACCACCGAAGTAATAATTCCATTATTCATCTGCTCTCAGACAATCCTATTTATCACAATATCATATCTTTGCTCTTCAAACATATATGCGATTTGATGCGTTGAAGATAAAGATCACATCATGGAACGACTATTTCTAACAATTCCTTTCCACTACTTGGAAATAGTTACACAATGTCAACTCTTTTAAAAGGAATCATCATAATGTACTATCGCGGATATCCGCCGTGTTCCATTTCAGGAAAAATTGCCTTGTTTATTGCAAAGAGACAAACTCCACCTCTTCCTACAAATATAATATGATAATAATAAAAAAAAAACTAGCCGTGTATTACTAACCGACTTTAGTAGACACATTTATTGCATTGGTATTGGTTCCACGATTGAAGCTTTTGATTTGTTACACCACCAGTTTTCTCGACTGTACATGTTCACACTAGGAAGTCGTCATTATATTTCTAGTATCCTAGTTTTAATCAGTTTAACAAGCATTATAATTAAAAATACATAAAAGATTGAAGTTCAAAGATGGTTAAAAAACTACAATAAAGCAAATTGCAATAATTATCTGAGTAGATAACAAGTGAGAATCTAAGAAAGTAATTAAATACTAAATGTGAGATGTATCCTTTGTCCGTAACATGTTCCCAGTAAATGTCATGGGAATATTGTAGAACAAACCGATGATTGGTGTATTTTATGTTGATACTGTTCCCGTGCGGCTTCATCTTCGTGAAATTATGAAAATTTTATTTTATTGTTTACATTTGTCTAATTATCAATAGCAAATGTCAAAATGACATGACATGACAAACATTAGCAATCTTTCTTTCTTGATGTTGGCAGCAACTTATGGTCTCTTTCCCACATTAGGGTTTTTATCCAAAATATTCACCCCTAAGTTAAATGGCGTGAAAATATATAGCCTAAAGCGTGACGTAAGTGTAGGGCTTTTTATTAAAAAAGGAATTATTCAAAAATATGCTGTAATTGCTGACATCTTAGGCAACAAAAAAGTGTGTGTTTACGCTTTATTATAATAGTATAGATATAGATTTACGATTGTATACGAATTGCTGAACTTCCCTCATTGTTAGAGGTCAGTTAATCTAGAATATAGACTGTAATGTAAAATTGTTTTAAAAACATTAACAATTGTAATAATGTTACTAATATAAATGCTACAGTTTAAAGAATTTTAAAATCTCTAGCACCATTACAGTTACTTTCAGTTCCAGTTAAATAGTTAATATTTTTTTGTAAGTTATCAAAACATGTTTTATATGCAAATGTATGCAGTGCGAACCCACGCTAAAGTCTAGTACATAACCCTAAAACATCAGCATGTAGCACGTGATTGTTTTGAGTGTGAGCAGATTTTTGTCGTATATTTCTATACTAATTTTAAACAAATTTCCAGACGATGAAGGCGGTCACATCAAGCAAGGCTTCGAATCGCGACGGCAGAATGACCTGTATATGCGTCTCGGTCTACTCCTCGGGGAGAGAAGGGGACGGAATAAGTCTCGGGATAGCTGCACCTCGCTCGCTTCCCTCGACGCTCATACCCTGGCCTCTCATAACACCAGCCCGGTTTGTATACTTTCATATGCAATGTTTCATTCATCTAAACAATAGATGGCGCTTTTACTAAATAGAAAAACTTTTTGTTTATTTGCGTTAAACTCTCAAACTATTGATGCCATAAGAAAAATATATATATTGTGCTGAATGACCTGCTTATTATTGAAAGTTACACAATATTTATCTTCACGCTATATCCTTTAGAAACCAAGCAGAAACGAATTTATATTTTATATGTAAGAAGCGTACTTTTCCGTTTTATTCTTGAGTACTATACAACTCATTACCATTTTAATGGTCCTCAGTTATGTTTTGAAATATTCTATTATATATTTCATGTGTAGGTGTCAACGCTGACTGGTTCATCAGAGGTCGAGGCTGCTACGCCACTAGGCCGCGACTCGCTGGGTTCTCTCGCCTCCATGTCGCTCTCCGCGGCCAGCAACTGCTCGTCTTCCAGCCCTGGCAGTAGACGGCATTCTGTTAATGGTGAGGAAAATTTTCAATAGCCTTTACAGCAGTGTGACTTCTGTGTTAATAAGATTTTTTTTGTATTCCCTTGATCAAGGGTTAATGGAATAGAGGTCTAATACATACAAGAGATATGGACGCTTCCTGGGTATGGCGGGGCACTTTTTCCCCTTTAGATTTACCTTAAATAAGCGACACCATTTAAAGCATGTTCAAAATAAGGATGTTACATATCGAATTCTTTACATTCATAAGTAAACATTAGTTTCCACTGTGCTTTTGAAATATGATCTCAATGTTATCTAAGAAGTATTTGACAAAATCTTACAATGTTCGACAATCAGTTGATTCGATATGTTTATTTTTTCAGCATTACAAAGTCGTTCGGAAGAACTGACCCGTATGTCAAGTGGTTTCTTCAAGAACAGGAAAACCGCCGCCAGAAGGTCAGCTAGAGTTGGCAGCAGTAAATCCTCTACATCATCAGATATTAAAAAAGGTAAACGAATGTGCACTTTATTACTAACAGAATAAGGTACAATATAACTTTCCAGTTAATGTAATTCTCGAATTAATAAAGATAAGAATGTAATCAAATTATTTTTATAACATCGTTATTATAATCAATACGGGTAATTTAATTACCAAGATTTACAACCATACTTACTTATCATAATACCAGTTAACTTATTTGCATTGAAAATTTAACAACATAAGAGGCTCCAATAGGCACTCTGAGACGTTAATTGGTTACTAAGAGAAACTCTTATTTTTAGATTAGATTTGTGTGTTGAATCTATAGTCAAACTCAATGGAAATGAGAAATTATTTTTAATTATGTCATTGTCTATGGATTTTTTAGAAAAGTTTCTGTTACAATTTAAATATAAAAACTATATAAAAACAGGTCGGTTTTTAATAAAGTCTTAGTTTCTTATTTCCGTTTAATTCCATTATAAACTAAGGGAACTCTTTAATAACTAATACACGATTGTAGGTGACGACTTTGAAATCATTGAACCGTTATAAAAAGTACTTGTTATAAAAACTCGCTCCCGGAAAACCTTTTTTTCCTACATCGCAACCTGTACTGACTTTTTGCACATTGCAACTGAGACGTTGTACCTGACAAGCTTGTTAACTGATGATAATGGATTACGTTAGAAAAGCTACATCCGATCGAGTAAGACTTTTTCTAAATACAACGTTATATGTATGTTACAGAAATACAACCAATTAAAAAACTAACATCAATATTTTATGTATCTTCATAAACTAAAAGACTTAAAAAAAAACAATTATTAAATATGATAAAATTTGGCAAATCTCAACGTTTTCTTAACATTTCAATATTCCTTATTGTTATTATATAATTTTGTTCTTGTTTATTGTAACTTCATACCTTTACGTGGCATAAAATTTCTTCTTTTTTCTCCAGTACACCCGGCACCACAACTGAACTTGCGGCCTCTTTTCTTCGAGGTGCCCTCTGCAGACAGCCAGGACTGCTACTCCGGTAGACAGTGGCTCCTCAAGGATATGGAAAAGGCGTTGGAGTCTTCATCATCAGGTATTTGAAATTAAACCAGGAATAGATGTAATCCATGCTAATCAACAGTCGTTTCTATAATCTATCTTGTCTGCAGGCATCCTAATCTCCGGCAGCCCTGGTACTGGTAAGACGGCCCTCATCCTGCAGCTGGTTCAGCATTCCTGCTTTGGCAGGAACCGGAACTTCGAGTACGAAGAGCTTCGAGAACAGTCAGATTTAGGAGATATCCTGCCCGAGGACCTCGTGGAAGGAATGTTCACACACCTCTCCTCGCAAGTCGTTGCTTATCACTTCTGTCAGGTCAGCACAACAATTTAAGTCTATAATGTACGGCAACTCTGTAAATAAGCGATAAAAATCCTGGTCTTTTCTATGAAACTCACAGGTCTATTCTCCTTTTCAGGCGGACAACAACAGCACTTGCCTAGTCGGCGAATTTGTACATTCTCTAGCAGCACAACTCTGCCAAGCTCCAAGACTACAGGCTTACAGAGAATACCTCCTCAGTGAACCCCACCTCTTAGCATGTCTCTCTCTGAAGGAGTGCATCGCAGACCCCGACCTCGCCTTCATCAGGGGCATCATAGAACCCCTCACGATACTCAGAAGGAACGGCAGCATTGATTCAACAAACGGTATCATCCTTGTCGATGGTCTTTGCGAAGCGGAATACCATAGACCGGATCACGGCTACACCATCGCGACATTCCTAGCGCGACACGTCGCTGAAATGCCAACCTGGCTTAAGATTGTCGCCACTGTAAGGACCCAGTTCATCGAACTCACTAAACAGCTGCCATACACCAGGCTAAGTCTAGACGAGTCAGATAACGTCCAGAAAGATCTACTAAAGTACTTTAACGCGAGATTACAGGCAGCTCCGATCATAGAAACCAACATCAAATGCTCTACGGGAAAATCAGAAAGCGCTCACAATTCAGTCATGAAATTCGCTCAATACGTGCTCCATTTAAGTCAAGGCTCGTTCCTATTCCTTAAACTTATCCTCGACCTCCTCGAAAGGAGTCACATCGTCGTCAAATCCACCAACTATAAGGTGGTCCCGATATCACTTGCCCAAATATTCCTTCTGCAATTCAATCTCCGCTTTCCCACAGTACAGTCTTTTGAGAAAGTCACACACATCCTAAGTGTCTGCTTAGCAGCGCTATATCCTCTTACTTTGGTCGAAATATACTATTCAGTTAACTCCTTGCTAGTAGACACTTTTCTTCCATGGGATGAGTTCTGCCATAGATTCGACACCTTAACAGATTTCCTCGTCAAGAGAATTGACAACACTTACATGTTCTTCCATCCATCGTTCAGGGAATGGTTGATACGTCGAGAAGATAACGAGAGCTCAAAGTTCCTGTGCGATTTGAGAGCAGGTCACTGCAGTATCGCGTACAGACTGTCAAGGGTCCAGGCTCCCTTGGACCCAGAAAAGAGCATGGAGTTGGGTCACCATATTCTCAAAGCTCATATGTACAGGAATCTGGGCCCAGCTCAATTGGGCTTATGTCCGAGAGACTTGCAAGCTATGTTAGTGGCAACCAGTTCGGCGAACGTTGGTGAAGCGATTGCCAATTTGAGGAATATTTACACGCCGAATGTGAAAGTGTCGAGGCTGATGCTTCTGGCTGGAGGGTCACCGAACCAAGTGACGGAATGTTTGGGCAACGCGCCGTTGCTCTGTATGTACTCCTACCAAGGCATCCTGGCGATGGTTGGTTTGCTAATAGAATTTGGTGCTGACCTCGAGATGACCAACTCTCAGGGCTGCTCGGCGCTGGCTCTCGCCTGTCAGCGAGGACATACTGATGTCGCGAAAAGACTTATTGCCGCCGGTAAGTTGGCCCATTATTACATAAACCATATTGGATGAACAAATGAATGAAGAATTATTAAGTAGAGGCCTACAATAGTCTACATGACTTTTAATCCAATTCTAGGTGCATCCCTGAGTCACACAGACACGGCTGAGCAGACGCCACTTGTACATGCGGCTAAGAATGGTCACCGCGATACTGTCATCTACCTGCTGGGCTGCCAGGCGGAAGCTGCGCCCGCAGCCAGCCCCGCAGCCAGCCCCGCCAGCGCCCGCCTCGAGCACCTCGTGCCCGGCGCTCGGCACGCGCTCGTCGCCGCCGCACAGAACGGACATCTTGACATCGTCGAGTACCTTCTTGATACTGCTGAACTTATCGTAAGTCAAAAACTACTTAAACCACAACACTCAATCCTTAATTGAACCCTAAGTTGTCCCTTAGGTCTAATGGGAATCAGTATTGTAAATAAAAAAATATTAGACCGGGATACGGATGGCATAGGACTAATCATCGTGACTGTGGGAGGTTTACATCCAGTAGTGGGCGTCACATAACTGAATAGAATGAAGATAATAATAACGCGCCTTTGACTAAAACATTGCACAACTGTTTAGTCGCGCTTTGATACCTATAAGCTTTTTAGTTGTACAAATAAACAGTTGAATTGCTGCGAAACAATCGACAATCGCAACAGTTGTGCGATAGTTTAGTCAATAGTGTGGGCGTGCTCTTAAAAACTCATAAAAGTTATCAAGCGTAAGTTTTCTCAAAAGTGAGCTTAGTGGCATTAAAATAAGGTTAAAATTCTTTAGCCGGACGGCATCTGCCCGGTGACGGGGGAGACGGCGCTGACGGCGGCGTGCGGGGCGGGGACGGCGCGCGTGGCGGACGCGCTGTTAGTACGCGGCGCGACGCCGTACGCGCTGAACGCGCGGCAGCTGTCGCCGCTGGCGCTGGCCGCGCGCCACGCCCGCGCCGCGCTGCTGCTGCGCCTGCTGGACTGCGGCGCTGACGTCATGGGCTCCGACGGCAAGAACCCGCTCATACTCGCCGCCGCTGAGGGACATGATGATATTGTTGAAACATTACTTGCACATGGTAACTTATAATTTAAACTCTTATATCCGCAAAACCAAATTGCAGTTTTTTTCACTATTTGTCTTATTCGACCAAAGACTAATATAGACGAAGCATGGTAACATTTTTTTTCATCGGTACTTTCTCTGAATGGTCAGTTGTCAATTTGTCAATTTTAGCTACTCTGTATTGTGTTGACATTTAATAAAACATTTTACAAAATTATAATCTCCATCTTTTGACCTCACTCCTATTGGCAATTAATTTAAATTAACATGTGGTTTTAAGCATTGTGATTGTATGAAAAATGTTTCGAGTTAACTATGAACCATGCATCTATACAGGGTGGTTACGGTTTTGTGAAGCGGTTGATCCGTTCGTTAAGAACCACCCTGTATATTTGAATCTCTTTGTATTCGATAGATACTTTAAATTGCATCTTTTTCTTAATGATATATTGCGTTTTACCAGGAGCCGACCCGGACGCGGTAGACGCGGATGGTATTTCAGCGCTGGGCTGGGCGTGCTTGCGCGCACGCATCCCCACAGTCGTGCTTTTACTAGATAAAGGCGCATCTATAGGTAAACATTATTTTTTACAGTAAAAAAGAGCGTATTTTTTTGTCCGGCTTGAGGGACCAATTATTTCTTTAATTTTAAAATCATTTAAGGTTTTCTTACTTAATATTAAAATGCAAAAGTTTAGATGGATGGATGTTAGAGTTTGCAGCCTTAACCGCATAAAATTATTAAAACTTTCTTTTATTGTTTACATTTGTAAAATATCAAAATTACCGTTACCATAACCTTGTTTCCTTAATGTTGGCAGCTTTTAGCCTAAAGCGTGTCGTAAGTGTAGGGATTTTTATTAAAAAAAATATTCAAACATAAAAGGAAAATGATGCGTAAAAGGTGACATGATCAAAACGGGAGTGATGACTGAGATGACGTATGATAGTTATGTGGAGGACAAAAACCTACGGGAGTAGGATGAGGAGGAATACGATGATTCAAACATATGCTGTGATTGCTGACATCACGCCATGAAGTAGTACGCTATATTAGTACAGATATATGTTCCACTTTTATTGAAGTGAATTATTGTTCAGAGCTGGCAGACAGCAGCGGGCGCACGGCGCTGGCGCTGGCGTGCGGCGCGCCGGCCGAGCTGGCGGAGCTGCTGCTGGCGCGCGGCGCCTCGCTGGAGCGCGTCGACCGCAACGGCCTGCGCCCGCTGGACCGCGCCATCGGACAGCGCAACCTACCCGTAAGTACACCTTCACAGTGGTAGAGTCCACTTGAACAACGTTAAAATAAATAAAAAAAACTGGCTTGCCCAGTGCAATACCACGACAAAGAAGACAGTCGTGAAGTGGAAGCAATTCCACGTACATTCCGATGAATGTGATATTGGTGACCTAGTTTTAGACCCTTTTCCTATTCAAACTTTTTAAGAGAAATAATAAAGGGATGTCTAGTTAATGGGAAGGAAAAGTGGATTGACGTGGAGGAGACAGGAAAGGGAAATATCCTCTTTATGTGCGTCTCCTCCTCCGTCAATTAAGGGTAGGCAACGCATCTGCAATAGCGAATGTCTGGGCAGCGGTTTTTTCACCATTTCGGCGGACTTGGCCGCTTTCTCGTTTGCCACCTTATAGTATAAAGAAACTTTCATACGTTTTAACTATTTTTCTTCCCTTCTTATACAGTTTGCATTTATTTTGTATGATTGTAGGTGGTGAGCTGTTTTCTAAGGAAAGGTGCGAAGCTTGGCCCCACTACATGGGTCATGGCGTCCGGGAAACCTGAATTTATGTTAGTATATTATATTTAATAATTTATATCTTAGAAATTTGATGTAAAAACATACTTATTGCTTAAAATGAATAATTGATTCATGCTACTTTTGAAAAGGTCGTAATTTATTTAACAACTTCGCAAAAGAGGTTTTAAATTCGATAGGGTTTTTATGTATGACTTTGAAATGTATGATCAGACTAGCTTTTGCCAGCGACTCAGTCCGCCTGGGATAAAAAAAACAACAGTGACTAGCCTATGTGTCTACATCCATCCATTTAAACTTTCGCATTTATAGTATGATTTACGTTATTTTTAGTTTGATGAGTAGTACTTTCCATATTGTTAGTTTCGAATTAGCTTTCTAACGGTGAAAGTATGTTTAAAATCGGCCTAATAGTTATTGAGTTATTTCAATACATACAAAAATACATATCTTACCTCTTTATAATATAAGTATAGACTAATAAACCAAGGTATATTCGCAGGCTACTCCTTCTCAACAAGTTGTTGGAGGACGGCAACATGCTGTACCGCAAGTGCCGGCCCTCGGAAGCCGCGCACCGCTACCAGTACGCGCTGAAGAAGATCAGCCCGCTGCTGGGGGAGGACGCCGCGCCGCCGCCGGACCACGCCGCCGCCTTCCTCCAACTCAACACCAATCTCCTGCTTAACCTGTCCCGGTGTAAACGGAAGTTAAACGTAAGTATTTTGACGTATATACTTTTTATTTAAAAGTTTAGGTAATTATTTTTTTATGTACAAGTATTGCGAATATTACATGGTATTACTAACGCTTTTAATATATCTATACTGATATTATAAAGACGAAACATTTATATTTTTGTATGTATTGAAATAACTCAAAAACTACTGAATCGATTTCAAAACTTCTATAATTATTAAAAATCTACGTTTTCAGGGAGTAACATAGACCGTATTTTTACGTATTTTTTCATTTCACGCGGACTATAATGAGCTAATATAGAACACTAGCCGTACTAATAACTATATATTTTTTTATTTATTTAACAATTTATGTCATTCACAGTATGTTAGATACTCGTAATTATTTCTACATTTTGTTAGTGTGCATTAATATGTTAAAAAACTATTTTTATAACTTCATACGTTTATTTCAGGAACCATCAGAAGCACTGGATTTAGCGGCGCGTGCATCGATCCTTAGACCTAATGCATTCGAATGCGCGTACGCAATGGCCCGAGCTATATTAGCCCTAAACAAGCCCTCAGAGGCCCTCCCCCACGCCCGGCGGGCCCTCCTCCTCGCCCCGCCCACTGACATGTCCGCTGTGAGAACACTAAAAGCCCTACAACAAGAAATACTAACAAGGATTAACACAGGATCTATTAGTTTAAACGGAGATACTCGTTCTATGAGGAATTACGACAGCATCAGCCTTAATATGCCTTAATTTTTATTGTACAATTTGACAGTTTCATGTACGTGTACAATTTAATACTCTCATGTAAGTGTACAATTTGACACTCTCATGTAAGTGTACAATTTGACACTCTCATGTAAGTGTACAATTTGAAACTCTCATGTAAGTGTACAATTTCGCCGACCCTACGGGAGTAGGATAAGGCAGGGGAGATGATGTAAGTGTACAATTTGACACTCTCATGTAAGTGTACAATTTGAAACTCTCATGTAAGTGTACAATTTGACACTCTCATGTAAGTGTACAATTTGACACTCTCATGTAAGTGTACAATTTGACACTCTCATGTAAGTGTACAATTCGACACTCTCATGTAAGTGTACAATTTGACACTCTCATGTAAGTGTACAATTTGACACTTTCATGTTGTTCTTTTGAAAGAGAATGTAATCGATGAAATTCGTCTATATTTAAAGTACAAAATGTATTAAAACAACTGTTAAATCCTACATGACTTAATTCTATGAGCTTTAGATTATGTTGTAAGTAAACCTTGTGTTTCTATGAATTAATTCAAATGTATTATTGAATTTTTTATACAAATAAATTAATTAGATCAAAGGAAATATTCTAAATTAATTTCAGCGTTCATTTTAGAGAATTATAACCCTATTTACTTATATATTTATTTATAGACTTACTGTTGTATTTTATACAAGTTTTAGCACGTTTCGTAATTAACTACTTATTCATAATATTGTTTTATAACTCTAAGGAAAGAAACACTTGCGAGATAACATGACAATTTGGTTGTTGGACAGTTGTGTACAAGTGTACAAGCGGTTGAACATCGTATACAAGTGTACAAGTGATTGAACACTGTATACAAGTGTACAAGTGATTGAACACTGTATACAAATGTACAAAGTAGTTGAACACTGTATACAAGTGTACAAAGTAGTTGAACACTGTATACTAGTGTACAAATGGTTGAACACTGTATACAAGTGTACAATTGGTTGAACACTGTATACAAGTGTACAAATGGTTGAACACTGTATACAAGTGTACAAATGGTTGAACACTGTATACAAGTGTACAAATGGTTGAACACTGTATACAAGTGTACAATTGGTTGAACACTGTAACAAGTGTACAATTGGTTGAACACTGTATACAAGTGTACAAATGGTTGAACACTGTATACAAGTGTACAATTGGTTGAACACTGTATACAAGTGTACAATTGGTTGAACACTGTATACAAGTGTACAAAATAGTTGTACCGTGAAATAAGTAATGACAGTAATGGTTTAACCTTATTGCAGGTTGTTAACAATGACGTATATGGACTAAGTGTCATGTTATTTCGGTGGTGTTGTATTTAGCTTGTGATTTCTTAATTTTGTATACTATGTGATGAATGCACTATGTAAATATATAATCTTTAGTATTAATGTAATCAGAATGTATTATAATGTTGACTCGAATACATTTCTATAATTTTTTTAACTTGCCATTTTTATACAAATGCTTTAAAATCAGTTCATATGTTTAGTAATAACTATGATTTTAAAAAGTGCCTTTTTATTACATTTTCGGTACCTATACGTATTATTTTTGATTGTTATTTTGTTTAGGTTAGAAGAAACTTTTGAGTTAAACTCGAGTGCCCATTTTCTTGCTTTGTTCTTAATTTATTTAAAAATGTATTCATTGTTTTATAATCGATGTTTTTGGACGTTTTGAAAAAAATCAAAAGTTTTTATTATAATTGAAAATTGGTTTTAGAACGTTTGATGTAAAAGTATTTATTATGAAAAATATACGATTTGTAATATGAAATTGATGGATATTGAGTGAATATTTTTACTATTAGTTTTATAGTAATATTAATAAGAGATTGGAAGTTTTTTTGAAGGAACAAAATTGATGTAACATTGGACATAGAAGACTGAGGATGTTTTTGATACAGATTGTAACAATAAATGTAAGAATACAATTACTGTGAAAATTTTGTATACATAATTATAAATATATTAAAATATTGCTTCTAGTTTTGTTTTTGAATACTACCCTCTCCCGAAAAAAAGTAATTAAAAAGCTATCCAGCTAATAAAAAAATAGACTTTTTTGTGTATACTAAATCATCACCAACTCCACTATCCGTTTCCAATAAGGGGCACGGAGCCTACCCTAAATAAGGGGTGGCCATAGTCAACCACGCTGGCCCTGTACGGGTTGTTTGAATATGGTTTGGGTTTATTAATTGAGGCACGCAAAATCCGTTTAAAATAAACGAGATACAAAACCTAACATGGTGTATAGATCTGAATGTTGGGCAATAAATGGGACGGATGAAAGGAAACTACATGTAGCGGAACTACGAATGGATAAAATACGAAATGAGTATATTAGAGTAAGTTTGAGAATAGCTCAGTGGTTGAATCAAGGAGCTAAAGGTTAGCATGGTATGGGCATGTTAGAGGTACGAATCGCATGTTACAAGGAGAACGTTAGTTATGAGTGTGGTATACTGGTAGAGGTAGACCTAGAAATAGATGGATGGATTGCATGAAACGTGACATGATCAAAGAAATGATGACTGATGACGCAAGATAATTATTTAGAGGGCGCAATCCCGGTGCTAAGGAAGTAAGATAAGGTAGGGAAAAAAAACACGAAAATACTAAACCAAAATTTATTACCAATAAACTTATATAGTATATTAGAGAGATAATTCTTACACAGTTTATTTACCTAAAAAGTTAAGAAACGTAAACTATTTGACCTCTCAACACGATTTTACCTGAGTTCGTATTGACAAAGCATTTGTAAAAAAACATTATCATTTTTCAATATATTTAAAAATAGCTACCATAACACGTTTTTTTTTTATTTAATAATCATTGTATCGGAGATCCACGCCATATCCCATCATTATTGTACGGCCTCCCTTTCATTCTTTGATATACAGGAAGAAGAATTAAGGGCTTTTCCACTGGCGGCGTAGGTTTAACATCTATCACTCTCACTACAGGCTCGTCTTGAGAACTCAGAAACCCGTAATTAAATAAATATCTTTGATGGTTTACTGTTCTCACACTATCTGGAGATATATGAGGTATTTGTCCAGGTAAAAATACATGTTGGAAACGACGCAGTAGTTCTTCTAATGTGGCGTTACTGATTTCTTGGTGATAACCAGGTAGGGTAGTTGTTAACTCGGAGAATATTCTCTTGCAGTTCTCGCCTCGTCTTCTTTTTGATATGGGACATGTCTAGAAAGAAATAAGCAATGTTAAAGAGGAATCATTCAGTTACTACCAAAAATGGCTGACATCATAAAATGGCGGTTGGCATAATTTTTCACAAACAACATGGATATCAAATGAAAGCACTTGAGGAGCGGAATAAAGAACATTATGCTAAATCAAAGATGGCCGCCATTACGCTACCAATGACCAAGCTAATAAAAGAAATTGATATTTTAAGACATAAACAGTCCTTAAAACTATACACTTTAGCATGATGACCCTTAGTGTTATAGTCTGTTACCAAATCTACACTAAGTGATCTCTTAAGCAGTATATAAAGGTGTTTTATTTTTGTAATGAACTCACAGCAAGCATTGTGTCGAGTACATTGAGCAGTTTGTTGGGCGCGCTGCAATGTTGCGCGTATAGCGGCCCTGCATTGTACGCCGCGCTGTACGCGCCGCGCATCGGATACCACACGCCTTGACAAAACTCACGCAAACGTTCCTTTAGCTTGAAATAATCTATGAAGTTATATTTGTTGAGAATGTCCATCTTGTTCATGAGACACGTCGTTGAAGGTGTTTCTTCTTCGCACTGTTGGATAAATATTTATTAAATACTGACAGGGAATATAAAAATCCTACTAATATTGCGGAAAATTTAAATTAGTTTGACAGATATCACTTTTGTTTTTAACTAGCAAACAATCATTTATGTAACTTTGCAATTAAAGACATATAATTACATATGACATTTAGAAATAAACATTTCTTTTCGTTTAGGAAAGTTTTAGTGTCGACAATAATGCAAATATATTTGTTTTCAAAGTTATTGATAGCCTTTTAAAATGTCAAATTGGTTTGAATATTCATTTCTATTAAATTTTACTGTAACATTTGACTTGGCATGTCATTAACAAGAGTACTCATTAGTCACACGTGCCAACTGCTCTTACCTTCCTGCCGTCAGTCCAGCCTCGCTTGAGCGCCGGCGTCTCCGGCGCGTGTTCGATGCGAGCTACGGACTCCACTCCGCATTCCTTTAACGTCTTCATGTCAACGAAATCCGGTACATTGCATAATTGACGACGTTTTCGCTACAATATTAAAATTAATTTAAATATAACCTATTTTGACGTTATATTCTTACTAGTTTTCGCCCGCGACTCCGTCTGAATTAATATCCAACGAACCTAATATCTATTTAGACTTTCTCATTAATATTAATCTTACTCATGTTTTTGCCTAAACTGTTGAATGTATTTCAATTAAATTTGCCATAGATATATAGCATAATAAAGAAGATGAAGAAGATCCTTTTGTTTTATTTTTAATTCTACGATGGCGAAAACTCGTTAGTAACAAAAAAATACATACTCACCGGTCTGAATTTAGATGAACTAATTTGACAAGTTATATTGTTCTGTAATCCACTGGAATGCCTGAAAAGATAAATATGTTGTCAATAAGAATAAATATAACATAATAGAGAATTAAACAGTACTTACTTGCAAGGATCGTCCTTTTTAGCATCGGGACAATTCTGCAATAGAAAATACAGATGCTTTAAGCATATGTTGCAGAAACAAATTTTAAACATTTAAAAGCAAAAATAAATAAAACCACAATTTTAAAGATTGAACCGAGTCTGTATCTGACAAAAGATAGCAATATACAACCATCTCTTTCTATTTTAAAATAAGATATAACAATTTTATTACACTTTTCGACAACATTTTACTCCATACCTCAGTGAGTACATCCAATACACAAGCCAGCACTTTGTTAATCTCACAATCCGCCTCGTAAGTGGCGAGTTTAGTAAGACAGTGCGAGTCCACGCGCGCCTTCGCCCGAAGCCAGTGGCCGTCCACTGTCATATTGTCCAATAGCCGCGACAGCGCCAGCGTGTCTACTGCGCCCGATGTTACTATGCCTAGCTTGCTGAATATACATGTCTCTATCTCGCACTATATGAAAGAAAGAGAGACACAACATTCACACGGTCTTGGTTTGACTCTACAGTAGTGGACGCCTTTAAAATCCCCTTTTTAGCCTTTTCTTGCAAGGAAAAGTGGGAAGAAATAGTGGATTTGACGGAGTTGGTACATAGGAAGGGGAAATATACTTTTTTCTGTACGTCCTCTCCTCTGTTGAAATATGACAAGATTTATTAATATAGTTACTAATCACTGAAAGTTTTCAAGTCACAGAAAATGTGAAATTAGATGGATGTTTGTTAGAATTTGTAGCCTAAACTGCTGAAAGGATCTTGAAATTTAGCATAGATGTAAAGGATAGTCTAGAAGAATACATAGGCTACTTACTTTTGTTTTTTTTTTATATTACGTAAGGTGCGAGCACGCGGCCACCTGAATCCGCCAAAATGGCGAAGCGAACGCTGCCTATAGACATCCGCAATTGCAGATGCGTTGCCTAACCTTATCCGACGGAGGAGGAGACGCACATAAAGAGGATATTTCCCCTTCCTATGCATTTCCTCCATCGTCAAATCCACTTCCCTTTCCCATCCTCTTCTTATAAGATAAGGGTGGTAAAGAGAAAGGGAAATTAGGCCTCCGGCACCACACTCATCAGACGAAACACGGAATTGTTTCCATTTGACGCCTGTCTTCTGTGTGGTCGTGGTATTACTGGGGGCGTGTCGGCCCTGCAGTGCTAAGATGTTAAAGCGAGCACTACCACTGTTGGTTGTTACGCGTCTAGTTAGTAAACAAATCAAGAATACAGAATTTCTGTTGAAAGCGAAAAGATTACTATTATTCAGACAAATAATACTTACAGAATGGGGTACGATTTTAACATCTGTCACTTTAGGCTCCTTGTCATCAGTTTCCGGTGGGTCGGTGACAACCCGGCGCGGCTCGTTGATGACCAGCCTGTCATGTCGGTGCCAGGCGAGCTGGAAGGCGCACTCCTCGCGCCACTCCGGTAATATGAACTCTCTCATGTCGCAACAATCGAGAGGGTCGTTGACGGCCTACGAATGTTTTAGACATTTTAAACAGGAATTTTAAAAGAAATCAGATAAAAGCTTTTGTGAATGTTTTGCTTTTAAAATATTTTTAAATTAGACAAGTTCGTGACGTCATTTATTATTCGATAAAAAATCGTTGGTATCATATCCAAAGATTCATAAGTTTACAAATTGTTTTCAGTTTCCAACAATTTTTGCGTCAATGATCGTTGCAGTCACGTTCAGTGTTTGTTACAGGCCAGATAAATTTGCCCTACTATACACATGCTTTACAGGCACAGATCTCTATAAATGGATAGGTTACAAACTGTGATATTTAGTGTATTTGATTTTGGTGTCGATAAATGTCTTTCACAAATAATCGCCTATCTATTAATGTATGTCTATGTTGATAAACTAACTTCGTTCTCCTCTATTCCACCGAAGCCAGTGTTCGTGGCTGGCGGCGCGCGAGATCTTACTGGAATGTAGTGAGATATTGATGCACGGAGATTATTCGAAGACATCGGTCTCTGAAAACAAAAATCCACTCACATTCTACTGAAACGACATTTAAATATGTAGATGACAATGTCAAAATTAAATTCCAAATTCAAAAGTTTTGACGTCTTAAACCGCTTTATTATCGTCAAATATCTAAGTCTAGTCTTAATTGAACGCTAAGGGTTCTGACTCACACTAAGGAAAAGATAGATAACAATAGCTACAACTCAAAAGTTTCCCTTAATGACTTGTTAACTTTTTTGCGTATTATAACTTAATTTTAGAGCGTGCGTACACCTTTGATTGAACTATCGCACAACTGTTTAGTCTAGCTTTGATTCCTATAAGCTTATATGGAGGTGCGTTACTCGTTAGTTGTGCAACTAAACAGTTGAGCTGCGAAACAATCGACAATCGCACGACAGTCGTGTTACTCGTATTTAGAAAGGTGTCAGCTGTTAATTCATACAGAAACTTACTAAGTGTTCGGATGTGAAATGTGCGTCAATCTGAGGGTCATGCAAGTGGTAGAGCACGAAGGTATCGAACCCACATTCTTTTAGTACCGTGGAGTTGAAAAACTGCGGTAGTTCACAGCATTTCGTGCTAAAGTACTGAAAATAAAAAGAATAAATCAAATTTCAATTTGTAGGCTTGATTGTGCCCAGACCATTGACCTTTATAATTCTTGTCAGTAACTGTTGATCATTTTAATCGTTATAACTCTGTATACAGGGTGGACTTAAAGTCATAGATCAAAGTAGTTTTATTTAACTATAACTTTTTTTTATAATACAAGGTGGCGAACGAGCAAGCGGCCACTTGAATCGACGGCAATGGCAAGCGACCGCTGCCCATAAACATCCGCAATTGCAGATGCGTTGCCAACCCTTAATTGACAGAAGACGAGATGCACATAAAGAGGATATTTCCCCTTTCTAAGCATCTCCTCCACCGTCAAATCCTCTTTTCCTTTCCATCCCTTCCTCTTGTTAAGTAAGGGGTGGAAAGGTAAAGGGACTAATCAGACGAAACGCGGAATTGCTTCGACTTCAAGCCTGTTTTCTGTGTGGTCGTGGTATTACTATACCGGGCGAGCCGGCCCATTCGTGTGAGGATGTTAAAGCAGGCTCTACCACTATTAACGCACACCTGTATATACTAAAAAGTATTTAATATACTCACATGCTCCAAGAACCATTTCGGACGGCGTTCTTTTTGTAAATTCTGTTGTAGATTCATGTAACGACTGAAAATTTAAATTTTTACATTTGAACTTTCTTATGATTAATCAATATTAATATAATTATATATTTACCTTTGTGAAAACATGTATTTACTACCAGCTAGTGCTGACACCGGGTTGCAACCGTCTTCCTTAGCCCATTTGTTGTCAGGACAATTCTGTCAAAATAACACATTCCTATACTATTATAAAAAGGAAACATTTGTATTTTTGTATGTATTGAAATAACTCAAAAACTACTGTACCGATTGAAATTCTTTCACCGTTAGATAGGTAATTTATCTGTGAGTAACATGGGCTATGTTTTTTTTATTAATTTTTAATTTCACACGGGCGAAGTCGCGAGTAACAGCTAGTATTTTATAAAAATATATTTAAAAATGTTATTCCCTAATTATCCATCTGAACCTTCTGAGTTTCACGAAAGATTTGGCGAAAACTTAGGTTGGTGCGTAATTTCTTAAGGGATTAGAAGTCGTTAAATTGTTTAAATTATCGTTTGCCATTACTTTAAGCGCAAATTAAAAAACGGCCCAACTCACGCTTTTATCCTCCGGTGATGGCACCAACTAGTCTCAGACACTTCAAGGGTTCTTCTTCAGGGCGAATATAAGTTAACTTTTGTTCGCGGTCACGTCGCGTCTCGCACTGCTGGCCAGGGCGGGGGGCGCTGGGAGCGTTGTGGCTGCTTCGTGCCTCGGCGACGGAGATGTCGACGGGTTCAAAAATATTAAAGTGTCGCTATTGTTGTTAAATTTTGAGGCGCGAGGTGACCACGTACAAAAGCTAACTCGCCCTGAAGGATCCCCCGAAGGGTCTGATACTAGTCGTTGCCATCACCGGAGGATAAAAGCGTGAGTTGAGGCGTTTTTAATGTTCGCTTAAAGATTAAAAGTCGTAGAGATTAGGTGCAATCCATGGGGGTCGCCAAATGGGATGGCAGAGTGGACAGCTGCCAGACAACAAAAATGTAAAATAGATAGATTTTACCACACTATTTTGATGGTAGTTACCCCCTATCCAAATCTAACCTCGAAAGCAATGAAATTCTAAAAGTTTAATAAAAAATACCTTTAAAATGTAGACTATATTTACCTCCATTAGATTATCGACTACGCAATGCAATAGTGCTTGTCCGGGGCATGTGTTCGTGTACCGCCGAGTGCGGTTGCCATAGCATATGTCTAGTGCCGCTCGTCCCGCGTCGTGCCATTCTAAAGGCAGAAGATTGTCTAAGACACTAGAGAACTGCTCTCTAGGAGGTAAAGTGTCTGAAAGACCGAGCTTCTCGTTCACGCAGTTCCATTGGTGGCACTGAAAAGATATAGTTGAAGACGTTTATTCCCTACCCATTTTAGTGATATGTCAGCAGACTTTAATTCACTTACCACTTAGGATTACATACATATGATAAACTGTTTTAAATGTTTTTAGCAAATTACATTAAAGAGAGATTTTACTGCTAATAATTACTAAAAAACTAATTCAGTACTTACCAAACGAGAATTTCTTAAATAGGACTTTCCGAAACTAACTTGTGCAAAAGCCTGTAAACATTAGAATCAAGAATTTTAAAATTGTACCTAGAGCGTCAAAATTTTAAATTTCATAAAAATATGCTGTCGCCATCGACATTGTCTGCGCGGAATTAAAAATAAAACTTAGTAGCCTATGTATTCTTGCAGAATTTCTTCTACATCTATGTCGAATTTTAGTGAAATCCATTGAACCATTCTGAACATAGTAACAAACATAAATCCGTCCATCTAAACTCTCACAGTATATAAGAATTAAGATGTATATGACGTTTATCTAATATCGTTAAGTTTTGCAACATTAAGTGATAAATTAAGATACACGTCCCTTGAGCCCATTCTTATTGCTTATCTCTGCATTGTATAAATCATATCATTTGTATGGAAACATTAAACAATAAAGTAAATGAACTTTGAACTGGCAAACTGTTATCTCCTTAAAAACGTATTCCAATTAACCAAATATGCCAGTATCAAAATAATAATAAATGGATTTAAAAAAATACAGTTAAAATATATCAAAAATAATCTAAATCTACACTAATATTAAAAAGAAGAAAGATTTGTATGTATTGAAATAACTCTAAAACTGGTCCGATTTAAAAAAAATCTTCCCCCTTTTAAAAAGCTACACTATCAGTAACATAGGTTATGTTTTTTACTATTCCTTAATTTCTAAATCACGAAGTCCGAAGAAACAGCTAGTAATATATCAAGGAAGACAAAAATCACGAATAATCTTTCTTTTTTTATTACTAAAACTTTTAAGTTATAAAAAGAATTAAAAAAAAACGGTCACTAATATCAATAGGTAATTTGTTGTTTTAATTTTATGTTAGTTTTACATTTTATTTAAAATAAATACTTACATATTGAAACAAAGCGCAGATGAGCAAAATGCGCATGTTTGCGAACTGAAGATCCGCTGTCAACTGTCTTGAGATAACGACGGCCCCGCGCTCTGCAGGTCAGCGGGTCTGATAACTTTTTAAACACGCGGATATTAATAAAGACAATGTTGGATATCGTAATTCAATATGACGCTTTGAGATTACTTTATGGACAAGCATATTTCGTACAATTAATATAGTGCCTAGTATAAGCATCTAAGATCGACTTGACCTAATCTACATATATTTTTTTAATAATATAAGGTGGCAAGCGGCCACCTGAATTCACCGAAATAGAAAGCGATCGCTGCCCATAAACATCTGCAATTGTAGATGCGTTGCCTACCCTTAACGGAGGAGGAGATGCACATCAAGAGGACATTTCCCCTTCACATGCGTCCACCGTCAAATCCACTTTTCCTTTCCATCCTTTTCTCTTAAGAAAAACGTGGAAAATAAAAAGGACTATAATTAGACTATATTATCCGGCACCACAATCATCAGACGAAACGCGGAATTGCTTCCACTTCACGCCTGTCTTCTGTGTGGTCGTGGTATTACACCGGGTGAGCCGGCTCATGCGAAGATACACTATGTTTTAAGGGATGCTTTGATTTTGTAGTTATTTAATAAGTAGGAAGTTACTATGTAATCAGTGCCAGATTTAGCCAGCTCGGGGTAGCTAATTTTTTCCAAGAGGCCTTTGGTTTGCTTTTGGTTCTCAAGTTTACAGTATTGAATAAAACATTTTTTTTATTGTCAAAGGCGTTGGCGGGGCCCATAGCCTTTGCTACTCTTGCTATATGGCTAATCTCAGAACTATTTAAGTATGTTAATAAAAAAAAAAAAACCCAACTTTGAATGAAGCTATTGTTTATGAATTTAATCTACATTATAAAAAATAATTTGTTCTGTTAACATGTGGTTAACCCTTTAAAGATACATACAACCGCATTAATTGCTGATAAAAATGTTTAGTAATTGACTTGTCTGGGTATACATAGTTTTCATATCTTGGCAGCTCTGAAGTTCGCGCGAATTGCACGGAACACAATTTCATGTGTATTTTTATGCAAGGCATGATGGCCATCGAGATATTTGACACACTAGTAACTAAGTTTCCTCTGAGTTAATACGGAAACATTGTTTGTTTTTTGAGAATGAGATAAGAATGTTTTTGTATATATTTCGTCAGTGGAAACTGGCATATAACATGCAATTTCTTGTCTTGATTTTGATATTAGATCAAAGTACGCAATCTATTTCTAGCAGTACTATAAGTGGACTATTTTAGTTACTAAGGCCAACTCGGTCGCTTATAAATAGTATTATTCATTACGTTCGTAATAAATTAAATCAGCGCATAAAGGCGATAAATATTTATTATAGCTACTGAACGTCATTTATTTAATTACCTTATAGCAAACCACGTACGACTCTGAGTGCGGAAGTTAAGCGTACATTTCTTTTCAACTGCACTAAGCCATTTAGTGACTAATTAATGTCTCACATAGGAATAAACTGAGAACGAGCACAGCTAGGCGTCGGATCACTTGATACCAAGCGATTCGCTGCTGGATTGGGCCGCTTTTTCTATATAAAAAAGCAAAATTAGTACTAATAAAGCAAAGATACGTAATAGTATGACATTACGTTTCTGTTCTTACAAACGTCGATCCGAGGTTATATCGACGTACCATAGTTTAAGCTCGGTATAATTTTAAACACCACGGTAAGTTAGTCCCACAGTAAAAATCAATACAAAATCTTACTATCTTACTAATATTATAAATGCGAAAGTTTAGATGGATGGATGGATGTTTTTAGCCTAAACGTCTGAACGGATCTTCTTGAAATTAGGCACAGGTTTAGAGCATAGTCTGGAAGGACACATAGGCTACTTTTTATCCCGGGAATAGTAACGGTTCCCGTGGGATTCATTAATTTACTTTTTTAATTTTTTATTTGGCACAGATATAAAACAAAGTCTGGAGTACACATGGGATAATCATCCCCGAGAAATGTCCGGTTCCCGAGGGATACATAGCTTTTTTTATTTACATAGTTCGTATGTTTTCTAATACCACGCGAACAAAGTCGCGGGCAACAGCTATTATATTATAGTTTTCACTTTATTATTAGTAAGGTATAAAAAAAGACGCAATCAATACTTAACATAATTTATTAGTGGTACAATACGTTCACTCGCTTACATGAAGCTAATTAAATTAAAAAAAAACAAGCTAAAACGCAAGTAGACACCGGAGCTGGAGTGAGAATGTTGCATTGCATAAGTGTAACTAAGTGCTTAAGCAGACAACTTAATTCATTGATCTATTCCATGTTGTAATTGGATCTGAAACATAAACATAAAAATTAGCTTTGCGCCCGCGACTCCGTCTGCGTGAAATTAAAAAACAATATAGAACATAGCCTCACTGACAATGTAGCTTTTTAATGGTGAAAGAATTTTTAAAATCGGACCAGTAGTTTTTGAGTTATTTCATTACAATCACAAAGTTTTCCTCATTATAATATTAGTATTTACACGAGATATTTAAAAATTAAAAGCAAAAACCATATCAAATTGTTGCTAGTATATGAACTAAAATTTCATATAGTTAGTTTAAAATGAAAATAGTTTAAAGCTATTTTTACAGTCATTTCGGAAACTTAGTAATAATTTTAATACGAAAGTTTAGATGGATGTCAGTTTGTAGCCTAAAATTGAACAGATCTTGATAAAATTTAGCATAGATAGAAGTCTGGAAGAACATATAGACTATTTTTGTTTTTTTTTTTAATTCCACGCGGACAGTCGCGTGAGAAAGCTAGTAAATAAATTGTAATCCATCTACATATGTATATAAAATATGTTTTTGTGATAATAAAAATTCTTACAAAGTTGCAAAAGCTATTGGTGTGAAAAAACTAACCTAATTGAACTACTATTGGTTGCAATGATCAAAGGAAAGCTCCAAAGCCGAACGCTCGCTTGATACTGTTGAAGTAATAACGCTTCCAGTTCTCCTCCGTGTGCTCCACTTCTGAAGCCGGGACCAGCTCCTGCTTCAGCGTCACCAGGGTGTGGTCATCCTGAAACAATCATACTAATATTATAAATGCGAAAGTTTAGATGGATGGATGTTTGTTAGAGTTTGTAGCCTAAACTGCTGAACGGATGTCGATAAAATTTGGTATAGATGTAGAGACTCTGGAAGAACACATAGGCTACTAACTTTTGTTTTTATTAAATTTCACGCGGACAGAGTCGCGGGCGAAAGCTCGATTAAACATAACCAAATATCAAATTAAGTCCAATGAAGCGACACTAAATGCAGGAGTGCGATTATTTCGTCTTATATGCAACGTTATTTTTTTGTATCCTTTTTATACTAATTTGAATTATCCTATAGTGTTAATTTAAATCAAATATTTGTATGCAAAGTTGTCACTGAAAATTGAATATACCATTGATATCATTTTATAATGTGAATTTTTAATTAAAAAAGTTTTTTTTACTTCAATAACAACTACAAACAATTTAAAGATTTAACAATATTACAAAAATATCTGCCCGAATGTTTACAAATCAGAATTTTCACTGAGTATGACACATTACTAATACACAAGATAGAAAGAGATAGAAAGCATATTGTCAACTCCCAAATTTTAAATTGAAGGAATGTAATACACAAATAGATTAAAAATATTTTAGTGATCATTATTAAATGAAAATAAAAACTGATTAATACCTTTTCATCAATTGTAAATGTTACTTCAGAGAAATGTTGTTCCGGCCACTGTTTATATCTCCAATACTGAGCTATTTTCTTTCCAGGGACCAACTCCTTAAATTCTCCTGTCACATTGCCCCCAAATAACGCAAACTTGCCTCCTTTCTCTGGATCCATTTTAACATGGCCTTGAGTAAAAGCGGTAACCATTTCTATCCTTGTCATAGCATTATAAAACTCATCAGCCCTGCATTGAAAAGTTTCCGTCAATTCTATAGTCTTAGTATCTAGTTTACAACCAACTTCCTTTTTATTTGTAGACACTACTGGCTCCATATTAATTTTCTTATTAAAACCACTTGTTATGGTCGACACACTATCAGGCTTGACAGATGTCTCTCCTTTCTTAGGTAGAATGAGACCTTTAGAAAACTCCTCTTTCAAACTTCTTAAGTATTCAGTGAGTTGTTTACGGATTTCATCTCTTCCGATGTTGTGCATGAAGGTTTTTACTTTCTGAGCTTCTTCACTGTTACCTTTGATTGTTACTGTCATCTGTAAAATAAAAAAAATCAATTTATAACAATGGCAGAGGTAGATCTCACAATTGTATTTTTTAGGATTGGAGGCCTAATCTCTCTTTCCTTTTCTACCTTTCACAGACAAGGAAAGGATGGGAAGGGAATTTGGCAGAAGCAGAGATGAGAGGAATTATGTTGTGTCCCCTCTTATGTTGATTAAAGGTATGTAATGAGTCTGCAAATGCAAGTATCTATGGGCAGCCATCACTTCATTATTGTGGTAAATTCCAGTGGACATTTGCTCATTTGCCACAATCATTGTCATTGTCGGCCACCTTATTATATAAAAAAATATGGAGTTTGTTAAAACAATGGCTATTCTTTATGGTGATGTAATACAAAACACCTCTTGTTAATAAGCTGGCAATTAAATTGAAAAATGAAATGAAACATTGAAAGTATCTACTTGAATTATCCTCTATCATCACCAAAAATGTGAAATGACAGGTTAACAGTAATATATTCTTAAAATCAAAGAAAAAATAATAAATTACTCACATCCACCTCACTGATATCATTCTCCTCTGAGAGATTGGGTATGTGAATGTCGCCTTTCACGAGCTCACTGGCGCCGGCCAGCCGACCCTCCCACTTCAATTTAATATCCCATTCATAGAAAAATATTAATTTCCCTTTTCTGTTATTTGCCGATGCCTCTCCTTCAAGTTTTTCAATCTCAGTCACTTTACAATCTACACCATTCTGAGCTATTACAAAGTTATTCAACAATTCTCTTAGACGTTCCTTGGACCACGGACCGGCATTTTTTTCCGTCCAATGCCAGTTATTGACATTAGTTGCGTCCGGTCGTTCTTCCACAATCCAGCGAGGATCTCCTTCGCCCCATTTGGCCATTTTCTAAGCACGAGGCCAGTTAGATACTGTTTTAAAATCTGAGATTCCAAGGTAACTTCACCAACCGGTGACAATTTACAGAAATATTGACAGTAATTGGTTTTGTTCACACAATCTCCGTAATTTTATGTCGACAGCAACAAATTTCTTTATGCTTTAATTTTTTAATTCTATCGCAGAAAATCGTCAATTTCGAGAAAGATCGCGTAAAACACACCACTTCACACAGCGCAACGGTAATACTGACAGAACGGATAATGTTACCAATAAACAATATCCGTTTTTCCAATCTAGCGTAAAACTGTTTCTCCGCTAAACAAAGTAATCGTGTCCATTACCTTTTTTACATCTATACTATTGAGACTAAAAATAAGCTACAATATTTAATTATTAACAAAGCAAGGATTTTATTAATTACTTCATCTAAACATATGGATATTTATGCAAGTCGTGTTTAGACTTAACATAGCTTGACCATTAAAATGTTTTTTTTTTTGCTTATATACTTGCAAAATATGTTAATGTAGCAACATTACTATTTTCTGTAAGTTTCTAGAACCTGCCAATCGAATCACCGTGAATCTTAATTTCCGGACGTCATTGTCAACTTATGAATGATTCATTTTACGCTGTTTCGTAATTACAAATAAAAAGACAAAAATTTAGTGTTATAAATTTTTTCTTCGATTAATCTTACAACAAATATACGTTTTGAGTACTTTAAAAAGTGACTGTTTATATTGAAAACATACTCGGAATTATTTCTTGGTGGAATACAACGCCATCTTGTGAGTAATATTTAAAGCATGTTTTTTGTTTATTGGCGCTTTTAGAATCTGCACATTTTATACTGGGTAAGTAAAAAGGTATTAGTAAAACAGTGCTAGTAATGCATTCACCATTGCAAACATTTAATAAAACTATTTATTTGGATGCTTTGGATATTTTTATGTTGGCGAACTTAGAGTATTTTCAATACAACAATAACATTCAATGTCGAATGAATTGGTGTTTGCGTCATAAATTCTTTGATTGCTGTCTTGAGATGCACTATACAATCGATTTTCAAGTTTATTTTAAGAGCGCTAAAATGCCTCATGGATATTCGGCCAGAAAGACCTTAGAGTAGATTTGTATAAGTAATAGAGACTAGTACTGCTTAAGTGGTTATTAAGCGACCCTGTATTTAAGATTGAGTTTCAAATAAAATATTTTTTACTGCAATCTTACTAATGCTATAAATGCGAAACTTTAGATCGAGTGATGGATGTTTGTTAAAGTTTGTAGACTACATTATTGAACGGATCTCTATGAAATTTGGTACATATGTAGAGGATAGTCTGGAAGACCACAGGTTACTTAGTTTGTTTATTTTTTAATTCCATGCGGACGGAGACGCGTGCAAAAACTTGCATTACATAATACTTAATTTTTTGCATACGTATTAGCCATCAGGAAGTGATGAATAATCGGACAATGTACAGAACGATTTATATTTTTTTTAAATAAATGTGTTATTTTGGTCCCTTTAAAATCTATAGGTCATTGCTCTTAGTTCAACTTGCAACATTACGTGCTTTGAAATGTGATATTTGACCGCAATTGCACCTACTTAAGGTTGTTCGTACCTACTATCCCTCTATCAAGTACAACAGGCTGTACGTTGTTGTATATTTTACCTAACATTACAACGTATTATGTACTAACACAGATTAAAAAGACAACAAAAAATGAAACGAGTATCTAGAAAAACAGCTTGTAACTTCAAAAAAACATGATTATGTTATCCAACCAAATCTACATATGTAGCGTAATAATTGTTGGCTTTAAAATTAGCGTTAACGTGGTTTTTAAAAAAATTAAGTCCTCTAGTTCTCATTGTAAAATAGACAACAAAGTGAAGTTTAACAGTGGAAGTCCACAGATAAACAAAGCTGACGTCAGCTGACGAAATATTATAGTTTAAACTATTTATGATATAGTTCATATGTGAGCCCTAATCATATTGTAATCAATATTAATCATTACACATTTTATACACGAAACTCGTTATCTCAAGTGCGAGCGAGATGCCATTAAAACCAGACCTTCTACTTCGATTAACGTAATGTCAGTTTAAAATCGGGTCCGCAACGCGCAGACGCGAAGCTTGTGCCCGTTTTGCGCGCCATTGCAAAAAAAAATTAAGCATGTTCCCTCTGCGCCGAATTGGCAACAAGGTGCGTTCTTGTTACGAGTTTCTTTTTTGTTATATTATTTTGTGATTATAAATAAATTAACACTTGTTTTATTAGAACTATTTTAGGTAAAGATCGTGTCTATTTTATTTTGATTGCTAACTGATCCATTATATCATTCGTTATCTTATATCGGTATGAACTTATGGCATGATTAAAAAAATACTTAAATAAAAAAATATTGGACTCAACCGGCGACGACGAATGACCATGAGTCACATGTTTTTGTGGTAAAAAAACACCGGTGAACTATTTAATTACGATAATATTATTTCTAGAATGATTTTTGTCGAATTAAAGCGAGAATCGTTGATTATAACTACTTCAATGATGGCAACTTAAAAAGATTGTCCTAATAATCTGTTATCAGTTTTAACATGTTTTAAACGGGTTTAAATGTTGACGTGGTAACACTGAAGCCTTGAAGTTATGTTTGTACATTCTAGATTAAACAGAATCGTATTTGGTTTGAAATACAAACAAATCATTGTAGGCAGTAGGCGTTTTGTTTTGTCCTGCATACTAAATGCTGTGATCCTGAATGGAATTCCAATTGGCGCGTCGTAGGAACCATTTGTTTATTAAGTCACCATCTTATTTTTTCTTGTAGACTTGGCTAATGGTTATTCCCGTCTTTTAGGTGTTGGAGCAATGGCGGGCACCGGTCGCTGCCGCCATAATGCCACAAAAGAACTACAGCACACCAGCGCCCCCGCGGCCTCTAACCATGCTCACAGAGGACGAGCTGGCCATGAAAGAGACAAGTAAATCCTTTTATCTTCTATTTGATCGTTTCTAGGTTTATGTGTTCTTAATGTCATTGCCAGAGATAGTGAAAATTACTTGTTCGTTTAATACATGGAAATAATTAAAAAACATCTTCCTAATTTCACTAACGTAAATATTTGTGTTGACATTACCAACGGCGGATCCTGGGGGGGGGGGTTATGGGGATCATAACCCCCCTTGAGCTGGTTGGTCAAGCTCTTGACTTGACCACGACTATGTGACCCCCCCTGGCGCCAAAGTTGGATCCGCCACTGGACATAACCCAGTATTTTTAAGGGAAACTGGCTACGTATATGTAAGTACTCTATAACACACTGTATTATGTACTAATTTTTTTTTTATCGTTACCTAAATAAAAATTAAAAACATAATTGTCCAGTAAAGGTCACGGCAACACGATTAGATTAGCAATCGACAGTTAAAAAGTATAAAATTTTAATGCTTAAATTACTCACTTATAATACTAGCTGTTGCTCGGGACTCCGTCCGCGTCGAAATTAAAAAAAAATATAAACTGTGTTACTGATGACGTAGCTTAATGGCGCAAGAATTTATTAAATTGGATCAGTAGTCTTTCCTCGTTATTATATTAGTATAGACAGATTCATAAATCGTATACATATATATACATTTAAAAAAACAGCAGTTGCTGGAATAATAATGTATCTTTCCTCTGTTGCGTTAAATCTTCAATCCATTTGTACAATGAATAATTTAAAGAATTTTGTTTTTTTTTTTTATTTTTGTAACAACTGAAGATGAGACATATTCATAAATTAACGTTTTGTCTGCTATTTATGTCTGAAATACGTTACAAAAATTTTGACTTAATTATTCTTTTTAATAATAGTCTCTCACGAACGCATTTTTTTTTAATTTTGCGATTTTAGTATATTTTTCGTTCGTTAACTTTTTTCACAAAATTTAAAGTCAGTTTTAAAACCGAAAGTAGAAGACGTGTACTCGTATATTACGTAATGTAATAAATACTTTAATATGAAAATATCAAGTACTCTGATAATAAAGATAACAGAATCAGAATAATTGTTTATTATCTTATTAATATTATAAATGCAAAAGTTTGTATATTTTTTATTATTTGTTAAGCTATCGCTTGACAACGACCCCACCTTAAGGAAGTGACGATGCAGTCGAAGATGGTACGCGCTAGCTTAGTAGGTAGCTGTTCACTCTCCTTTTGAAGGCCCCCACGTCATATTTATATTGAGTAAACTGCTGAACGGATCTCGACGAAACATGGCATAGATGTACACAGTTTGGAAGAAACCATAGGCTACTTTAATTGTTTGTTCTTGGCTACCTATTTGTTTTTTTTACTTCCACTTGGTCGAAGTCGTGGTAAAAAGCTAGTGTTAAAATATAGATATGTAGCTTGCTTTCAATTTACACTATTATACTAATATTATAAATGCGAAAGTTTGGATGGATTGATCTTCGAAACGGGTTATCTAGATGCATTTAGCAAAAGGTAGAAAATAGAACACAGGCTACCTAATAAGGCTACCACAATTTTTTTAAACCACGCGTAAAATGACGCGGACAAGTTAGTTGTGTATGCAAATGCATACTACATGATTTTCTATAGGATCAGTGGTGAAGTTAGTGTAAACATCGGTTTTCACTGTTGAAACTTGTCCTAAAAAACGACGATTGATGTTATATATGTTTTGCTAGTGAAAACCTACGGTTAAGGTAGATTTTTCTAGTTAGGATAAGCATATAGCAACAAATGATAAAGTATCGCGTATGGACTTATGCTTGCTCTTCGCGTCATATCAGTCAAAGATAACAGCATAATTAAGGGGGGTTTGTTCTATGTCAACCATTTTTACCTATAAATACCTATACACGCTAATTACAGAAATTTATACTACACAAGATTATAAAATCTTAATACTAATATAAATAAGAATGTTTAGATGGATTTATGTTACGAGTTTGTAGCCTTGACGGCTAACGGATCTCGATGAAATTAGGCATTTTAGAGGGTAGTTTGGAAGAACACATGGGCTAGTTTCGATCTCGTAAATAGTGACGGTTCCCGAGGGATGCGTCGAAGGCGCGGACGGAGTCACGGTCAACAGCTAATAATAAACTGAAAAAGGAAAGCATAAAGTTAGAAAGATGTGATACTTTTGGCTAAGGCTTTTGCTCGCGACTACATGTAAACATTCGTACTTTGTACGGAGTTTTTGTTACCTCAAAGAAAATTATAAAATTTATTGTTTGCATTTGTGAAATTCTCAATTGCAAATTTCAAAATATAAATTACCTTACCAATCTTGCTTCATTGATGTTGACAGCAACTTATGGTCTCTTTCCCACATTAGGGTTTTTATCCAAAATATTTACCCCCTAAGTTTAATGGTGTGAAAATATATAGCCTAAATCGTAACGTAAAAGTACGGCTTTTTATTAAAAAAAGAATTATTCAAAAATATGCTGCAATTGCTGACATCTTAGGCAACAAAGTAAAGTTTACGCTTTATTATAATAGTATAGAAGTATAGATTGTTAGATGTTTTATTTACATTATTTATTCTATTTGATTTTAACTTTGTTGTTGTTCTTGTTCAAGTTTTCTTATACATTTGAATAATTATTTTTATTTCCAGTAAGAAAACTAGCTACAGAACAAATAGGACCATTGGTTAGGAAGATGGAAGAAGAACATAAAATCGACGACAACATTAGACAGTTGTTATTCGATAATGGGGTAAATATTTCAATAAATATGTTTATGCAACATGATTAATGTAAACATTATAAAGATTTTTACGTAAATTGGTTGCTATTTTCTATTCGAGATAAGACTTTATAAATGTGCCATATATTTATAATGATTTATTTATGAATAATATAAACTCGTGACGTCACACAAGCGCGATGTCAATGTTATTAGGAGGGTCATCGGCAAACTTGAGAACAGCTAACATCTCTATGCACCGTTTCATTCTCCAAATAACTATCCGTCATCTAACACTTCCTTCTTGATCAAGTCATCTTTCACGCAATTTTTATTTTTCTATGTCTACCTATACTGGTGTACCACATTCATAACTAACGTCCTTCTTATTACAAGGGATTCATCCCTCCAAATAACAAGCCTACGGCGAAAGAAATTTGGCTACTTCATTTATTTTTGTCTAAGTGTTATGTACTGTACTGCCATAGTCCGACTTTTAAGCAGTACAGAATAATAAAATAACATTATTAATTTCCTCTTTGGGCAGGGGTTGATGTCCAAACTAGGGTATCCTACGTAAACCAGGCCCGTGCAAATTACTAGGTCAAATAAATTCATATATCAAAATCAATCTTTAGCTAATGGGTATCGAAACACCGGAAGAGTACAGCGGATCTGGCTGCGGGTTCCTAACCATGATGTTAGTGGTTGAAGAACTGTCCCGAGTGGATCCGGCTGTTGCCGCGTACGTCGACATACACAATACCCTGGTTAACTCTCTCTTCATGAAACTGGGCACTGCAGAACAGAAGAAGAAGTATTTGACGAAGCTCTGCACTGAATATGTAAGTAAATGTTATAAACCATAGACTCAAAATTATTTTAGTTCCCTATCTTTCCCCACCTAATTTTATTCCCCTTTCCCTTCCCACCTAATTTTATAACCCTATATCTCCCGACCTAAATTATATTCTCCTATCCCTTCCCACCTAATTTTATTTCCCTATCTCTCCCCACCTAAATTTTATTCTCCTATCCCTTCCCACCTAATTTTATTTCCCTATCTCTCCCCACCTAAATTTTATTCTCCTACCCCTTCCCACCTAATTTTATTTCCCTATCTCTTCATGTATGACGCAATGATTTTTCCCTGGTATTTACGATCTATTGTTAACTTTTGCTTAAACATATAATAAGACATTATTAATTAAAGTAAAATATGCTGGTAATTTTTGGTGTTTTGATGATGTTCTTGAGCTCGGACGGTGTGAAAAAACTTAACAAAAGAATAAATAAATAAATCGACTGTAATTTGTTAACTTCAAGATACCAAAGGCACTTAATGTTCATATCAGGTTTAGGACGAGTTTAAGGACCTCGGAAACAGGTTTTCTTTGTACTCAAAGAGTTTCGTATAATGTAACTTTTGTATTATTAAAACAATTAACATAACTAAATAAATTAATAAATATTTTAAAATCTTGACATTCAATATATGTTAAGGATTTTTACATTTTTTTTTTTACAATTTTTTCTTTAAATAACTAAAAATTAAATTAGTTTGTCTAAATAATTTAGATTAGTTTGATAATTCATTTTAAATTTAATGGGGACGGGTCGGCTTATCGATTTTTATTCTTATAGAAGTTGTAATCGATAGATTTATAGTTATAACTTATGTAATAAAAAAAAAACACTGCTTTCTCAAATTAATAATGACCATAGCAAAATAATGAGAGTAAATAAATGTTTATTACTACTACAGCCGTACGTAATCGAATTGGATTTCGCTATTATTTCTGTCATCGCTAAATTCTCTACACTGTAATCAATACTAGAATTGTCCTCTAAATTATTGAATAAGAAAATAATAATTTTAGTTGAGTTCGATAATTATTTAAACCGAATATCGATAGTTCAAAATTGTTCGCTGTGTGTTTGTTTCGTCACTACGATACCTGTCTATTAAGTATAGCATTTGCCTTCATACAAATTGAATTCGATACTTCATATACGTCATTTATCAAACTAATCTATCTTATTTAGAATATGATTTAGTTTGCTGTGAAAATAAATGCAAAGATGAAAATAAGCTGACGCATAAGATTAAAAAAAACTGCGACAAGTCGCAAATTCTTGGCAATTGCGTTTCAATTTACGTAATAGAATAGCAAGGGAAACGATATAAGACAAAAAAGTTATATTTTTTTCTGTTAATTGAGGTCCAACACTTTGGTACCTTAGATCGTATAATTGTCGATTTTATTTACCATAGATGTATATTCATTTGACTGTCTTAATGTTACTTTTTACTAAAATTATAAATGCGACAGATTAGAGGAATGGATGGATGTTGCCTAAATTGCTGAACGGATCAGAAGAAACGAAAAACAAATATGCTACTTGCTTTGCTTTTTTCCACGCAGACGAAGTCGCGGGCGAAAGCTAACTATTCATAAATATGGAACACTAGCTTTCGCCCGCGACTCCGTCCGCGTGGAATTAATAAAAACAAAAGTACAAATTTATGCCAAATATCATTGAGATGTGTTCAGCCGTTTAGGCTACAAACTCAAACAAACATCCATACATAAATCTAAACTTTTACATTTATAATATTGCTAGCGTTCGCCCGCGACTCTGTGTGAAATTAAAAAGAAATAAAAGTGAGTAGCTTATGTATTCCTCCAGACTATCCTCTACATCTATATACCAAATTTCATCGAAATCCGTTTAGCTGTTTAGGCTACAAACTCTAACAAACATCCATCCATCTAAACTTTCGCATTTATATTATTAGTACGAAGTAAGAAAGTAAGATAGTTTTTAATAAGTTTTCTTTTAATTACACACGAAGGGTGTTGTACAAAAACGTTGTACATTGAAAACTATACTCGAACAATGGTGATAGAATATTTTGTAGTTTTTATCGTATGTTGCATTACTACGATTACATAGATTTATTTAATTTTTTACATCAATAAAATACAGCTGCATTTTTTATATGAACACTCGTTTATATAATAAAATGAAAAGATTATTTTATCTAGAATGAATAAGTTATGACAATAATCTATTCTTGTATAAATTCTTTAAGTTATTAGAACATTAACTTATCTTCAAACAACATTAAATTATAATAATTTAGACTATGACTGATTTTAGTGTTTTTTCTGTATAGTCAGCTTAAATATATGTACACTAGCTGTTCCCGTACGACTTCATCCGCGTAAAATTATGAACATTTTATTTTATTCTATACATCTGTCAAATTATCAATCGCAAATGTCAAAATGATATGACATATGATAAAGCAACCTTGCTTATTTGATGTTGGCAGCAATTTACGGTCTCTTTCCCACATAAGGGTTTTTATCCAAAATTTTACCCCCTAAGTTTAATGGTGTGAAAATATATAGCCTAAAGCGTAACGTAACTGTAGGGCATTTTACTAAAGGAAGAATTATTCATAAATATGCTGCAATTACCGACATCTTAGGCAAAAAAACAAAACCGACTTCCAAACAAAATACACGAAAAACAAAACAAAATGCACTAAAAACAAAACAAAATACACCAAAAACAAAATAT